AAAACATAACAATTTTCTTTTGGCTGATGGTTCAAATTCCAACCCTGAAGACAAGTCACTGAGGTGGAAACATACACAGAAGAAATACATGCCATTATCACACATGCACAGGACAGAGGGATAAAGGGATAAATATGCGCACAAAACACACGTGCGCGCACACACACACACACACACACACACACACACAGTTTAAACTGTGTGAGAGAGAGTCTTTTACTGTTCTCAATATCCTTCTCTGACTCTGTCCAGTCTTCTGAAGGAAGAGCAATATCACACTATGAACCGCTCTCCCTTCGTCTCTCTGACTCACTGGGGGCTGCTCGGAGGCGTTAGGGAAATAGAAACTGATATGAGGGCAGATAGTGTCCATCACGTTCTATCACGTGTTTCCCCTCAAAGTGACAGAAAGGTCCCTGGTCTTCTTTTTCTTTTTTTTATTCTCTCCTTTACAGTAATCAAAAGTGACTGCAGATGAAGTAAACAGTGATTTACAAAGAAAGGGATCACATTAAGAACTCATTAATGTCTGAAGGACAATGGGATCGCAGTTATATTGGTCTTGACACCTTTGAGTCTTTTCACTATTTTATAGCGCTGGCAGATGTGACTCTATATCAAATAAGAAAATCTCCAGTGTATTGCATTAAACAATAGAGCTAGCTGACTGAGATGCTATAAATTTACAGTTTTTACAAACATTTGTGTGTCAGACATGCTAACAAGGGAATTGTGTTGACACGCTTTGCTCGTGTCTGAGTGTGCATCTGTCAAACACCCTGTGATATGACATAAAGTCAGTGAAAAGCCTTGACCCTAGGATAGGTTATGTCAAACAATTTTAGCACACACACACGGTGAAGGTCAGTCTCACAGAAGCATGATGGAGGGGGAATAAATACACAGAGGTACAGGAGGGGATGCAGACACCCATGACTGACACATACAGTTTTTCCCCACTGTGGATGACTGGGTACAGTAATTGATTAGTCTATATCCACTCAATCACAGGGGGTTGATTGAAGGAACAGTCTGACAATTTTGCTATATTTGCTGCCTTACTGAGCATTAGAAGGGAAAAACAACAAGATGAAAATACAATATGTAAAAAAAAAAAAAAAAGCTGTTTAAAATTAGTTTTTTGTTGGAAATGTCTCCTCCTGCCTTAATCTTAAAATAGGCTGAAGATTTTCTCTTTATTAAAAAGGTGAGGTTATCCAAAACCTCACAAACATTTGTTTTTGTAGGTCAAAGTTGCACAAATAAAACTATCGATAGTCTGCAAGTTCCAATGTGTGGATGACAAGTGGTTTGTCTTTGTTTGGCAGCTTTATCTCTTGCCCCTGAACCAATCTGGGGGTGGATCTGCTGTGCATGATCCCCAGCTTTTCTTGGGATCTCTACAGATCATAACAGTTGGAAAATTCCCTTCAGACAAACAAAGCAAAATGTGTGACTGATGGTGAGATGGTAAATGTTAGAGACTAGACACCGTGGATGGATGAGGCCAGATCAAACTCTATGTAGTTTGATATTTCTCTTCAGTATGGAGAACCAGGACGTGTGTTTTCCACTAATGCGGACTGGTTGCTACTCACTTGTGGTTTGGACATAGACAACATGGCTGAGAATGAGTTTAGTCGTCAGGAGACATACCTGTGACGTTGATGGGAACTATGTCTGTCGGCACGGCCTGGGCTGCCAGCCTCATCTTCTCCTCTGGCGTGGGGAGGGGTGCGGCCTTGTTCCATATCACCTGTCCGTCGACCTCAAACCCTTCACCCCCTCCCTGTGGGGTCTGAGGCCTCATGGAGAGCTGGGATTTATCATCCTCTGCCGAAGAAGCTGTGGACTGGACGAAAGAGAGGGAGATGGGATTTAATGAAATGTAAATCGACGGCAGGCAAGATTGAGAGTGAGAGAGAGAGAGAGAGAGAGAAATGGACAGAGAGGAGGAGAAGAAAAGTGACAAGCACAGAGCTGATGGATAATAAGAAAATGTCAATGTAAAAAGTCAAAAGAATACAAGAAAAGGTGAAGTGGAATTAAATATAATAAAACTTAATTGTCCAAAACCGTCACTGACAGATTGTTCAGGATATATTGACAAACACAAACACACTTCAATATACCACACTGCCGTGACCTTTAGAAACTTACTGTGCTGTAAACATGTTTCACGATCAATCAAACCCAAATGGAAACACACGCACTTTATACACACACTCACACAACACAGATCAGACTAAACCAATGGCTCAGCTGGAGATAAAAGCAAGCGAGCAACAGCGAGAGACTCACTCAAGCGTTAAACTGTGTTCACACACACACAAGTAGAGTTTACTGCGAAGAAGAAACAGAAAACAATGTTTTCCTCAAGTGTCGAGGCCTGAAAATGAGCAGTTAAGTCGACAGAAAAACCTCAGTTTCAGCTTGTCACGGTGTCAACCTCCATCTGAGCCAAAAATATCCTGGAAACCGTTTCAATCCTCACTTTTTCTGCATCACCCAAAATTCATCAGTTTGAGCTTGAGCTTTTCCACCACTGAAGAAAAAAACTGACTGGTGGGGAGTTTGTTGTTTCAGACGATCTTTCCTGCAGCTCCCAAATGTAACATCAGCATCCAGTCCCTGCTTCCACTACTGTTTCTCCCAACAATCCAAACCATCAGACTGGTTAGAAGGAATGACTTCTAAGTGCTTTCATACTGACCACGCATGGATAGATGGGTAAATGAGTGGAAAGCAACACGGGGGGCGGGATGTTGGGAAAAACCCTCAGTCATACAGAATTTGATGGCAAGCACAGCTTATTATTTTGCATTATTTTGGCTCAACTGGGAGCCCTGTATCTTCTTTTGAAGCCGCTGTCAGGCAATGTTAGGCTCAGTGGCCTCAGGACAACAGGAAGTGATATGTGGGGGAGAGAGAAAGAGGGGAAGGCGGACAAACAAGAGGAAGAGAGGAAGGGGGAAGGAAGGCAGAAAGGATGAGGATTGGCTGGTGTCTCTACGAGAGGCAGGGGTGAGAGTACAAACAGATAACAAGGGATGGGAATATAGTTTAGAAAGACAACAGCATGTTATGGAGGTCACGGGTCGAGGCGGGCGTGAAACATGGGGGGGCTGGCCTCCACAGGCTCAGGGGGACAAAGGAGACCCTGATAATCACAGTGAATACCCCCCCAGCTCTTTCAGGACCTCAAATATCACGTCTGAATGTTTGTGTGTAGGAAAGAAAAATGAGGAGAGGAGGTTTATCTAGCCCTCAAACCACATACATTTCATGCTGATAATCACTGGTCAGATGACCAGGAAAAAAAAGGGATACCGATTTTGTTTCTCTGTTTCTACATTTAGCTCTGCCTGAAAAATTATGACTAGGCAAAGAAAGAGATACAAATGCGTGTTAGAAACACCATCAACATGTCCGCTCGCTCGAGATATGTTCCTGCTGTATATTCGCACATGGGCTCACTTGATATTTTCTGAACATTTTACTAGGGGGCTTGTAGAGAATATTTCCAGAAATTTCTAGAGCAACTGATTTGTGTTCTGGCATACAGCCCCTCTGGAAAACCCAAGTAGCAGTGAAAAGATCGAGGTTCAGATAAAAGTTCCCCTTCCAACCACTAGAGAGCAGACAGCTCCTGTATAATTCACAAGGAGTTGCCATGCTGTAACAATTCATGTAGCACCACTGACTATAAGACCTGGACGGCTGTGTGTTTGTCTCTAGTATTCATTTGTGTTAAAGTTTGTATGTGTGCAGTGCATTGGATACCTTCTTGTCATTTTCATCATCCTCGTCATCCTGCAGGGTGCTGGAGGACTGAAGTGGGTCAGAAAAGATGGGACCCTGAGAGTAGTACTGCGAGCTGCGGAAACCATCCTTCCTCAACTTGTCACATTCTGGAGACAGAACAAGAAACATGTTAAAGTAACGAAACAAAGATCTGAGCTGCTACGATCTTTGGATCATCTGGAATACATATAAAAGACAGGAAACCACAAAATTCAAAAATCTCTCCACCTCCATATCATAAAAACACAGCTTTTGTAGATTGAAATATTTTTACTGTTGGAAGAAATAAACACAATACTCGAAATGTATAATGAACTTTGAGCAACAAACATTATGTGAACTTTCACCTTTGACTATTTTTATAAACCCAATGATTTAAAAAAGACTTGCTGTGCTGATCTCAACAAATATACAGTACATTGCACACGCAGGTTTTCTTGTGCATATTCAGAATAAATTGGCCACTAACGCTGCTGCACAAATGATGTGTGAAATATTTATAAGACGTCCCTGTGTAATACTTATTAACTCTCAACAGTATAGTATTGTGTGTGTGTGTGTGTGTGTGTGTGAGTACAGTCGCTATAGGACACTGCCAAGTTCTGCTCACACCTCTTCTCATCACCACCTGCTGTGTTGTGGCTGTGATGTATATGTGTGAGTGTGTGTGTGAGTAACCAGACGAGGGGGTATCAGTTTCAGCCTGTCACACACAGATGGCAGAACTGTCTCTTCCCCCCCCCCTTTCTCTCAGGGGCCATTTTGCACATCGTCTTTCTCGTTACCCTCAAAGAACATGTCTAATAATGCATCCTCTCTGCAGTATTGTAATTACTAAGTATATTCAAGTAGTGTTACACCAGAAATACAAAATTAGAAAATCCTCTAATGCCTGCAGCTTGTACGATGAAGAGATCAGACAAACTGCAATAAGGAAACTTCCAATGTATCTGTGTTCTCTTGTCTACACTAATATCACCTGTACAGTCTTTATTGTAATATAAAAACCACCCTCCTTTCATCTTGCATCTTGGGTTATTATTCAGTGTGTGATGCACAATCAAACCCCTTTTAGTGAATTACACTTATGCACCAAGCACATCCTCACAACACAAAATCCTGTTTTTGATCCCATCTATCTCCATAGCTAATTACTGCCTGTCTCTAAGGAGGGAAACATGTATAGCACTGTCAGTTAAAGAGTCGTTATGGGGCTGGTGAACATACAGTGGCAACTGTGACCATGAGCTGATGTGGCAGCGGTGTGGAAGAGGGATTTAGGAAGAAGGCACGGTGATAATGAGGATGATGGCGGGAGATGTTGAGATGATTGGTGCTGCATGATTGGGGAGGGTTGTTAAAATAAATAAGCTCTGATGAGCCGAGAGCTGCTTGTTGCCAGGCAGAACTGGAGGGAGGGGTAAGTGACGCAAGCAGAAAGAATGACGGAGGAGTAATAAAGTGATATAAGTAAATGAACAGGGTGCGTGTATCCATAATTCACATACATAATTCAAATGATGCTCGATTTAGCGTGGAATTACATCACTAATTAAACTAATGTACATTTCTTGGGATATCATTTGTAATAATAACAATTGTATTATGTAAACCTTCCTGTTTTATTATTTTGACCTGGTGGCACATTCTCTGTGACTCCACCTGCAAAAGCACAAGTTTAAACCCATGTGACAGTGTGAAAGGCTCAAAGAGAGGATGCACGTTGTTGCCATCTGATTGGTTATCGATTATTCTGCTTTGCAGAGCAGAAAGCAGACTCGTGTACCTTGCTGTGGTCACGCTGGTGGCATTGGATTTAGTGACCTGTTGCAGGCACAAGAGAGCAGGGGCTGTCTGTGATTTAACCTCCTATTATAACATCAAAATTATAAAATCAATCCCTTATCTATACTGTTTATCTTTAGAGAGTAATGGGTGGGGCTGGAGTGTAAATTATAAACTAGCTTAGTTAGAAATATATGTCATAGCTATGACACATCATAGTGATGAATTAAAGCCGTTTAGAGATAACGTTCAATAAAAACTGTCATCACTAAGAAATAAGAACATTTATTTCCCTGTGGCTGGGTCGTATCTGGGTGTGTCACCTCCACTCTCAACTTCCTGGGAGTGGAGGAGGAATTGAAAAACTACACATGTCAAGATCCAAAAGGAAAGGACAGGTGCTCCCATTGGACACCTGTTGGCTTTCAGTTAGGACCCCTGGGGCTGGGTGGTGATGACAGGATGCTGGGGTGGAGACAGGATGAAGAGGGGGCTGCATTAAGCCCACCTCCCAGGTGGTGTTTTGTGTGTTTACGTACCGAGCAACATCAATAATGTAGGAAGTGATGTGCAACAGCACAGTGTCTGTGTGTGTGTGTGTGTGTGTGTGTGTGTGTGTGTCTGAGTCGGTGACTAAACCTTAACACAACGTAAGCATCAGGTTACATCCACCTCCTCCCTTTTTATCTCTTTCTCCCTTTATCTCAGGCTTTTTTATCTGCTGACACACAAGGCATGCAAACAACCTGCCTTTTACTGTTAAACACCACCCGTGTACACACACACACACCTACACTCACACACCCATTACACACTTCCAGGCCTCTCAAATCTTTATCTGACAAATGGGTGAAAAACACAACTTTCCCAGGTGCCAGCATGTCCTACCATTCCCACCTGCTGTGGGAAGTTGTGAGAGTATTAAGTCCCTCTGTTGTGACTTGACGGCCTGTGTTTGTTTGACAACAAGGCAGTGGTCTGTTCTTGTCTAATTGTACTGGACAAACAGGGAGAAGAGGATCTCACACTGTTGTGTTGTTGGCTGATCACAAAAAGTTTAAACATTTTCACAGAGCTGAAGACAAACACAATATTTCAGGTTCTTCCCTCTAATTCTGTGACTTTGTGATATTTTCCTCTGCCAAGGAAGTTATGTTTTCACCCGTGTCTGTTAGTTGGTTCGTTTGTTTAGGATTATATAAAAGCTAGTGAGGCAATTTCCACCAAACTTGCTGAAGGGATTGGACCTGGGCCTGAGAGGAACCCATTAAATTTAGTTTGTTGTTTTTTTTCTTTAATTGTGTTACTTTTTTAACGTCTTTTCAGAACTTGACAATGGATTATCCAGCCTTGGTGGAGGTATGCACTCTCCTGAATGCCATTCTGGATGTCAGCATGAACATTTTGGGTGACTACATTGATGTGGAAGTTATTGGAATTTGCTTAATGCGTCTATCAGGAACTCATTCCTTCTTAGGACGTATAAATTCTGCTGTGGGACATATTTTAGTTTAAACCACATTGACACTGGCATCTGTCCTGATCAATACAAGCTCTTGGATCTCATTTTCTTTAAAAGTTGACGTTCACGTCAGCATCTTCAATGTGTATTGGTCATGAATGATCCTTACCTCGCAGGGCGGACTTGAGGTTAACTTTGGCCTGGCGGTGGAGGTCCTCTACGCAGGGCGGCCTGCTGCCTGGTAGGAAGACGTTCTCCTGCTGGTGCCATGGAGCCGTGTAGTGAACCGTCCACTTGCTCTCCTCATCAAGGTTAGACACCGCTGTAGAGAGACAACGCAGAAGGTCATAAAAATGTCTTAATTAACCATTGCGGATCTCCAAAAGGATAATTCAGGATACACTTCATCAAAAATGTTCCCCTGCACCTAGACGTCCCTACAGAAAGGGTTTGTTTATGTTTGAAGATGAACAGGAAGGGGAAGAACGGCGAGGTGCTTTGTATCCAGGTGTCAGTTTCCACACAAGTAACACATGACACTTGAGTGAGACATTGCACAATTAGGAGGCCACACACCTCTGAGGGAGAACAAGAACTTGGAGGGAAACACTGAGCAGTAGTTTAAAAATCTAGACACAAAACTAAAAACGGACAACAACAAGGTCCCTTACTATTAAACGGCCAGAGTGAGTCCTTTCAGAAAAGAGTTAAGCATTGTGATTACATTGCTCACAAAGAAACAGCTGTTTGTCATTGTATTTTATTCAGTACATTGTTTTTTTAAAATAGAACATAATCAGTTGGTTCTTAGCAGCATTCAAGCTCATGTAGCACGATGTACACAACTAGTTAAGTTGAAGCAGTTGCTGCACAACAGAGAAAACAACCCGATTTATCTACTTCTTAATAACTGTTGTTTTTCCTAGCATTGACAAATTGAGGTTTATTCTCCCATGGTATTCTGATGCCATTGCGACAAATGGCTGAGGAAATATTAAGGAAATTAAGGCTTACCAAGGGAGCGAATCCAAGCTAAAGTTGGTGATCGGGGATGTAGTATTATTTCCATTTTAACAGCCAAATGCTTGTTTGGTTTGTCCTGACCAAATACTACATGCTCATCCGACTCACTGGGAGAAAGAGAGTCTGGTCTGGAGGAACCAGGAGGAAGGGGCTGGGTCATGAAAAGGGGCTGGAGTGTTTTTGTTCAAGGTTTCTTTTCACAGGTGCTAATGAGCCACAGTGGCTGCATGTATAGAGAATGCATGGCGTCGGGGGAGGACAGGAGGCCTCTGAGGTAAAAGGTACAGGGTGGAGGCTAACGACTACAAATTAGTTGTTGGGGAAAGTGTGAGACAGTGTTCAAGTGCTTTGATATTCAAATAACGCCTATGGTCATTTTATAAGCTCTAAAGTGACCAGTCAAACTTTACTTGTATCGATCATAAGAGGTACGCAACCTAATGACCACAACAAAGTCACGCATAGTCTTAAAGATAGATTTGTAGATAGACAGAGCAGCACCATGTCCTGCTGCTGGTAAATAATAGCACCTTTATGTATATCTCTACAACTCGTTGAATAGGCGGCCGTTAATTTCGTCTCCAGCGGAGGAGAGGAGTCATTGTGTTCATTTATGTTCCCCTCTCACCTTGTTACCAAACTGTTACCTTGTCTTCCATCAACAATCTCTACTCTTCTTTTTCTTTACTTCTGCTGCTACGTTGAAATTTCACATTCTCATTCGTTGTATGCTTAGACATGTAAAGAATGCGAATACCACACATACACACCAAAGGTCAAACAGTGCTCTTTAGCATGAAGCTTTAACAACAATATAGATGAGGTATATCACCTAAAGCATTACAAGCTGCAGACATACAGTGTTCTGACACTGATTTGTTACTATCTCAGTTTAACCTTTTTTAACTAGAATGGCAATAGATTCATATCTCTGCCAAGGCCCATACGCCCCCCCAAATAGCACTTACTCATAGATAACAGTTCCCCAAATGTATCTTTCCATCTAGATTCATGATTATTTCCAAGAAAAACATTCCTGGATCTGCACCAAAATTCAGTTCCAGTTCCTCCCTAACCCATACTGCATCCTTCCACCAAGTTTTGTGAAAATGTTCAGTTGTTTTGGTGTAATCTCGCTCATAAAAAAACCAATAAACGGACAACCAACCAACAAATAACCGGACAGGGGTAAAAAAACATTAAGCAGAGGTAATAATCAAGTATAAGCATCTGCCACAGACAGCCACAGCTCATGCCTGAGGCATCATTGAAACCAACAAGCCCAGCGTTTGCTGCATGTGATGGTTGTGAGCAGCTAGATTGAGTGTACCGTGATGGTCTACCCGTGTTCTCACACATGCAGTCTTTCAGCGTGCCTGCACCAATCAGAATAATCGATCCAAAAACATCACGAGGCACAACTCGCCTGTACACAAGTTTTTACTGGAGAGTTGCATGATACTGACGCAAAACCCACTCCATGCAGTTCAGATGTAGGCATTAACTGTTGAAGGCTTGTAGCAAGTTTGAATCCACAGCCAGTTTAGTAAAAACTCAACAGTCTCAAATCTTCTTGCTCCATCAGCCACGCTCAGCACAGGTATCCCTCCCCCACCCTCCACTTCTGATTCTGGGGCTTGAATAGACTTTAGTCAGACTATAGACAGACCAAGGACATGGGGACTGCAGATACAAAGCCCATATTGTCCCCCTGCATCAGTCTCCACATCAGGCCTTTCAGTGCCACAATACCCACTAGCACACACACAAACACGCACGCACACACACACGCACACATTGTGGACTGGACTATGGCGCGAAAGTCTTTGAGAAATCCACTAATCCCTCTGTCCATGGACATCAACTCTCCCTGCGCCTATTAACAAACAGACTGCGGGCAAACAGGCAAATGCAAACAGCTGAAAAACAAAACCCACATGGTGCATCAGAGCTAAAGGTGCAAGAGGCTAAATACAGTGACCCCTGGAAAAAGTACGCACACACGCACACAAAACAAACACAGGGTACTATGTGTACTAGATATTTTACCTGTTCACTCACCAACCAATTAACTTTCATGCATGAAACAACTTTCTGTGTATCTTAAATGTCAAAATGGTCTCAGCTCATGTTAGTTTTCATGAATATACATTAGTTATATACAAAGGAGAGTTTATTTGAGATACTTATGTATGTATATATGTAAACATCTTTAAACTCCAACAAACTGTTTTCTACCTGTCATCCTTTAAAAGGAAGCATTTAAATAATGTTATAATTTCCCTGAAAGACAAATTCCCACCTGAGACTCTTCAGGGCCCATACCTAATATGAATAATGCTCAATTAGGCATCTACACAGAATATGAAAAGTACTGTATTGCAGTGGCGTGCCAGCGTCGTCAGCTCAGGAGCAAAGTGGAGGCATGTGTGAGATAGAGCGATAAGTAGTAGAAAAATGCTGAGATAATGATTAACAGCATCACCTCAGCCTTGACTTAAACACACACGCAGGCTATAAATACACCTGAGATTAGATTTTGCACAAGCAGCTCGCCCCACATCAAGCAGGTCTTTGTGTTCTTTCTCACCTGGATCAAATAATGCCCCCGGAGTATCAACAAATCCAGATAATCGTAATCCGTCTGCTTCAAAGACAGTTCCTTTAATTCCAAGCTCAAGTTAGCTGAAACGTTTATACCTAAATAAGGTAGTTGTGATGTTAAGTAGCTCCAGCTGAAAGATTTACAAATGCAGTCGGGTCATTTAGTGGTAATAGTTGTCGGCTCTGTGTGCCTTGGGCCAGTTGTTACCTGGTAACAGGGTGCAACAGAGGCAGCAGCAGGGGTATATAGTTCACCCATAGGACAGCATTAGTTGTAATATAATTATTCACAAATCATTAAGGATGTGGCTCCAGTTTTGATACAGAAAAGCCTTAATAAAAAGATTGAAGTGGTTATTTAAACATTGAAACAAATTCAGGACATTCCGCTCACAGTCACAACCCAATAACATTACTGTCAAAATGATGCAAAACAAGATTCACTGGTTATTCCCACTATTTGCTGTTCATCTGTTTTATTTTGAACATGGAAACTAGGTCCAAACAACTTAAAACACACAGTAATGATCTGCACTGAACACAACTTACCCTTCCTCTTGAAGTATTTAATTACAGATTTTAACGAGGTCCCAATAAAAACCATTATTCCACTTGACTGTAAGTGTCCTTCTCTTGAAAAAAACAAAAGTGTCCTACTAAGGAACAAAAAAAGACAAATCCGGGGAAAAAAAGAGAAGGAGAGGATGACGGAGCGCTGATGTCGGCTCTTCTCCGCTCACATTCTCACCACACGTCTGAGTGTGTGTGAGCGTCAACTATACGCTGACAATGAGTCTCTACTCCTATCTGTCTCTCTCTAAACACACACGGTCCACCGCCACTCCCCCCATCATCATCACCACCGCTCCTCCCTCAGGCTGCCAGTCCTCACACACACACACACACAC